AATTTGAAATTTGTTGCAATTTGAATTTGAAATTTGAAATCTGGAATATGAGTGCATTTGAATTTGAAAGTTGCCTAAATAAGAAGATTGCAATGGAGGGAAACTACTGCGTTTAATTTCATTATCTCTATAATCATTTTATTCCCCTATCTTTCTCTCTCTTCATTTGTCTTGGGTATCCTAGATATTGTTTCCTTGATATGATATTCTTCTCTATGACACTTTTTAATGCATTATCTTCTCTACCTTGATTTATATACTAATAGGTACAAATTTGGTCTCAGTTGCTATTGCAATATTTTTCATAATTATCAATGAAACAGGAAGATATTTTGATGATATTAATCTGTGTGAAATAGGGGGAGATTTTTTTTTCTCTTATAATATTTTTCATAATTATCAATGAAACATAGAAATATTTTGATGATATTAATCTGTCTGAAACAGGGGGAGATTTTTTTCTTATAATATTTTTTTTAATTATCAATGAAACAAGGAGATATTTTGATGATATTAATCTGTGTGAAACAGGGGAAGATTTTTTCTTATAATATTTTTTATGATTATCAATGAAACATGGGGAGATTTTTTGATGAATTAAAATCTGTGTGAAATTCTTTCCTATCTAAATTAAACAAGGGGATTTAAGAGAAGTATTTGCTCATATGAGTTAGGGGGAGTCTTGTTATTAATATATTCAGGCGGAGATTAAGAGACTCTGACACTTGATACAAATCTGTGCTAATCTTGAGCTGATTATATAGAGTCAAGCATTTTAATTCATTTCAAGTGTTTCCTTGATCATCATCAAAAAGGGGGAGATTGAAAGCAATGAGGGGGAGATTGATGGAAATGTTCCTGCATTCCCAAGAGATGATTTTGATGATGATTCAAGTCAACTACATCCAAGTCAACACCATTCAAGATGAATTTAAGGACAAGCTGAATTTATGACGTAGGTGACAATGTGAAACATTTCCCTACATGCTCAATATATGTTTTTGATAAAGATGATGATTCAAGCAAGCCCAAGATGATTCCTAAAGACTAGATAGAGTCTTAGAATACTGGATATGGAGGTACAAGTTGATGAAGTAATATTATGCATAAGCCTCCAAAACACAAGTGTGATAAAATTCATAACATAATATTTTTCACTGTCATAATTAATTATGATGCACCAGAAATGGAAAAATGATTTTCTCTATCATAATTAATTATACTGGTAATATAATCAATTATGGCAATTCAAATTTGAAAAATATATCCATTTTAAAGAATAAATGTTTTTGAATACATCTTGATTTTCTCTATGATATTATTAATGTCCAACGACCATTTTCTGATGTTATTTTTCTATTTAATTAAGTTTTGATGAAAAATCAAAAACACACAATTACAGAATTCGAAAATACAATTTACATTCAATCAATTTTGAGAAAAGAATTCTGAGTAAGGCAACAGAGATATTTTACACCTTTTGAGAAAACCCTCTTCTCTACTGCCTTATGTGCTTTCATTGTTAATCGCACTTGTTCTTGGAGATTGGCATTCTACAGGCTTCTACAATTTGTTGTCTCCATTACCTAAGTGTGTCTGTTCTTATTTTTATTACCTTCATCCTTTTTGCATTGGTGGAAAAGGAGGTGTTTTTCATCCCTAGTGTGATTGTAGGGAGGGGTTCATCCTTAGTGGGATTCTAAGGAGGTGTTTTTCATCCTTTGATTTTTTCAGAGGAGGTGTTCATCCCTAGTGGGATTCTAGGAGGTGTTCATCCTTAGTGGGTTTCTAAGGAGGTGATTGTCTTTTTAATTAGTTTACTTTTACTGGTTCTTCTGTTGAGTTTATTGTAATTTGTAAACTGAATTTGAAAGATAGTGAATGGGGAGTCACTCTTGTGTTAAGAGTTGACTGGGAACTGGATGTAGGGTTGGCTATACCCGAACCAGTATAAATCTTTGTGTGCTCTTCTCTTTCCCTTATCTCTTTCTCCTTTCCTGATTATATTATTGCTTCCGCTTTAATAAATTATTGACTCACAAATAAATTTTTAATTTGACATCTATTTTAATTTGTGCATCTGAAACGAATTGTTGCAGGTAGCATCAATTGTCCTGTGGCGGAGGCCGGGTGGGCCAAGTCACAATCGAATCGTGGCGCTTGGGCTATTACTCTTAAGTAAAAAGAGTTGCGCTCCGACTAATAGCTATAACTTTTGGCCTAGTGGTAAGCGCTCGATCCTAACAATTGGTATCAGAGCCAAGGTCGCGAGTTCGATTCTTGGTGGGCAATTGTTAAGGGGGAGATTGTTGCGGGTTGCACAATTGTCCTGTGGCGCAGGCTAGGTGGGCCAAGTCACAATCGGTGGCGCAGGCTAGATGGGCCAAGTCACAATCCAAGTGGGATTCCTCGTAGAACAATTGCTGAGGGGGAGATTGTTGTAGGTAGCATCAATTGTCCTGTGGCGGAGACCAGATGGGCCAAGTCACAATCGAATCGTGGCGCTTGGGCCGTTACTCTTAAGTAAAAAGAGTTGCGCTCTGACTAATAGCTATAACTTTTGGCCTAGTGGTAAGCGCTCGATCCTAATAGAAAGATAGTACAAAAGTTTAATACAATTAATGATGGGATATGGATCCTCTAATGCCAGGGTTGCGAGGACAATGATTTCTTGTGTGTCCTAGTATTTTACAGTATGAGCACTTTCGTGGGTGTCCTCCTTCCCTGATGTCCATCTCAGTTCTGATTCTAGTTGATTTGGGCCGACCTTTTGAACTCCTTCTCGTGGTTGGATTTGGCGAAACTTGTGAGCCTTCATATGGTGACCAATATTGTTCATGCCTTAACTCCCCAAATATATGGTATGACGACATCCAACCTATAATGGGGACTGATGTATGTTGAAGTCATGATGGACATGTTTGCAAGCTGCTAACACATGAGAACACGGTATATGAATTTTTTGAAACTTCCCACAATCACACCATCATTCATCCAACCTAACAACAAATGTACTCGGAGGATGTATTTCTCTTGGTTTGACCATTTCTTCCACCCTGAATCTTGTCGTATTTCTATCAAATTCAACCACCCTGTGGATATTTAATTTTGATTCACTTTCTTGTAGGACCTTGGTGGCATTTTCAGAATAGACATGACCAGCACTTATTATTGCAGTTACATGCTTTCCTCTTTCTGTGAAGAAGGTGTTGCATCTGGTATATGTGGCCAATACTATGGAGGAGATTGGTAGATTTCTTGTTTTCTTCAAGACTGAGTTGATAGCTTCGGCCAGATTAGTTGTGAGGTGACCCCATCTTCTGCCTTCATCATACGCAAGTGCCCATTGATGTCTTGGAATTTGGTCAATCCAAGTTGCTGCTTCTGGGTTCTCTTCCTTTATGATATTGTAGTAATAATTACATCTTGGCTCAGTCATTGCGTATGCTGCAAATATAATTATAAAGTAATACTCATTAAATATAACAAAGAATGATGGAAGATCACACATAATTGAATAAAATTTTGGAATTTTAAGTACTTACCCATGTTTACAAGGTACTTCTTAATTGTTGTATTTTTTAATCTTCGAGTGAAATTTTATGCAATGTGTCGAATGCAAAACACAGGCACACAATTTCCTTGAGTCCATCCACTTCCCGGTCTATTGAATGCTGCATTGATGGAGTTATGACGATCCAAAATTAAGCACAAGTTTTCTTGAGGTGTAACGTGACTCTTAAGGTTTTTAAGGAAAAAAAATCAAGCTTCTGTCGTTTCACCTTCAACAATAGCAAAACCAATAAGGAGTATGTTGTTCCTCCCATCTTGTGCTACAACCACTAGAAGAGTGCCCCTATATCTCCCGTAGAGAAATGTTCCGTCCACTTGCACTAACAGTTTGCAATAGGGAAATCCAGCAACACATGGTTTGAAGGTCCAAAATACCCTTTTGAAATATTCTTCGTTTTGCAGGACCTCCTCGCCATCAGTTATGACCTGAGTTTTGAGTTGGTATACGAAACCAAGAAGAAATGTTTGCATTGCTTGTAGTACCCGTGGCAATTTGTTGAATGATTCTTCCCAATTTCCGTACACATGTTCAATTGCTTGTTGCTTGGCCAACCAAGCCTTTCTATACGTTGTTGTGTAGCTCAGTGAGGTCTTGATGGAAGCAATGATTGTTGCAATTGGTGTTGATGGGTCAGATTCAACCATCTCATGAATGTGTTGGGAAATGATACGTGACCCCAACCTGTTATGATCTTGTGTAATGAGTTGTGTGACACAGGTGTGAGACCCTTCGATTTTTCTTATTTCCCATACTTGATCTCTTGTTCGAAGGATGACTTGACACTTCCACAGACATTGATGGTGGACACATTGCACCCTCAACCTTGTTGTGTTAGAGTGTGTCATTTTGTATGTGCAATGGTTTGTGATATGAAATGTGTTTAAAACATCAATGACTTGTTCCTTTGTTTGGAACCTCATTCCCTGGGTTAATGTACTAGGTTCATGCTCGAATGTGTCATGATGAATATTAAAGTGGTCGTATGCTTGAGGATATTGTTGGTTTACATGTTGGGAAAATTCTTCATAGGACTGGAAGTGTTGGGGCGGGTTGTATTGAAGAGATAAATGAGGTTGTTGTTGTATAAGAGGGATATCTATGTTTTCTTCTTCATCATCTGCGTGCTGGCTAAGGATGTCATCCTCATCCTCACTAAATGGGTCTAATGACGACAAAGGTATGCCTAATGTTTCGTTTTCTTGTAGAGGAAGAGAGGAGAATTGTTGTGTGTCGACATATGTAGGAGATGAGAGAAGTTGTGAGGTCGATGGACCAGTCAAGAGTTGGGTGTATGATTGTATGTCATTTTCCCATTCCCCTATATATGTGGCGTTAAGGTCAAATGACTGATGTGTGGGTTAGGTTTGTAAGGGTTGTTGATATTCATGAGAATGATTAAAATAATTGGGCTGGGAAGATGAAATACCTATGTTGTAAGTCGTGCAAATTTCCAAGGATCTTAAAGTTGGGTTGGCCTCTATGATGTCCATGGCTCCATCCAAGTCATCGTCATCTTCAATATTTGTTGTTGTATAAGTCACATGTCTGCCACAAATTTGTGTTGGAAATCTAAAATGGAGGACAGGAGGTGGATTGGTTGGATCTCTCTTCGCCCATTGCAATATTATCTCTATTAATTGCGAAAATGTGAAACCTCTATGAAGTTGAACCATGATACAGGTGTCAGACTTAAACAAAACACCATTTTCTGGGTTAGGAATCATGTCACCATTATCATAGATGCATGCAAACATCTTTGGTGCCATTTGAGGAGGAATAAGATTCTGATGAGTGGTAGCAAAGAAAAGTTTTGAATAACTATGGTTTGAAATGTGTGGTAAGGTCCCTCTTTTATAGCCAAAAGTTAGGTGATCATGTGACCCACACATTAACGAACGTGATTATGTGACCCACACCACACCTTATGACATCATGTGACTTGGATATTTCCTTGTGTGATCATTAGACTTACACATAACTTTATGTCATCATGTTAATACAATTTTTTTTACACAATGATAAACATAAATAAGATTAATCGACTTAACATAAATAATAATATTGGATGGATTAAAATACTCATTACACATGACAAGAAGAGTGATAACATAAGGTTCATGGATTTTTCATAAATCAAGGTACATGATCATCAATCTAAGTTTAGTGACTGATTGAAGTTATTAGCCAAATCATAATAAACTTCAGACGGGGTTGCACTTTGGTGGATTTTTGTAATAAATGCCATGATCTCAACATGAACTTATGTAGCTTGTTCTGTTGCCATTAAAAACAATGCATCGACGTCGTCATCTACAAATATCTTACATGATCTATAATGTGCAGTGGTGGCAGATATGAAAATTGGTAACATGTATTGTAAGTTGACTTCATATTCGTTTACTGTTGACATGTTGAAGTGGTTGAGAATAGTTTGCTTCACTTCGACCATAGTCATTGTGTTTGTTATGGTCACCCAAGCCGTTTGAGAGCTAATGTATGTTTCAGAGTAGTTTTCTTCCGTTAAGATGGTGCCATTGAAGTACACCAACACTGTGAAAGTTGTAGATGTCATTGTTGGTTGCAGTACCTTGTCACTGAGTTGATTGGTCGAACAACCTATAAGTTACTCTATTTATAGGACAATTGTTCACTTGGGCCAACAACAATGATAATTTCACATACGTGAACAACGGATCTGTGGAGATGAACACATATGATTTAGATCCACACTGCACGAGGTCTGACCACCATGAATGACACATGAAGGCTTTAGTCCATGTGACAAAGTCCTCCAACTTTAATCTAAGGGTTGAAATTAAATTTGTGGAGATCAATGCACATCATTAAAATCCACATTGCACAAGGTCTAACAGGGTTTTATTAAAGCATGATCGTGTCATTATGGCTGAGCAGTATGCCTTATGTAGTGGATCTGAATCCTGTTCAATTTTTATGTTTTCAATCGTAGCTGTTAACTAAAAAAACGTACACTGTTCATTATAACACTATAAATAATGGTATTGTGTCATATCATAACTCCCCAAAGATGATGACTATTATCATGGGTTGACTCAATCACTCTCTCAATCAATGCTCTCACATGCACCCTCCACAAAACTGATGTCTATTATGTCATTTTAAAAATATTATTTTACTACTTTCAACAATAAATCTAAATATATTATTAAGCTAAAAAATATATAAATCTTTGTAAAACTATAATTTAAAACTATAAATTTTAAATAAAAAATTATAATATTATATATATATATATATATATATATATATATATATTTGTTTTACTTAATGTATATTTGAAAAACTAATTGATTATTTCAAAAACTAATCGATTAGTTTTTCAATTACTGGATTATAATCGATTAGTTTTCCAAACAACCGATTACTTTTTCAAATAATCGATTATAATCGTTTAAATTTTCAAATATACATTAAATAATTACAAATAAAAATATATATTAAATTAAAATAAAATAAAATAAATATTTATAAATTATATATATTATATAAATTATAATTTTATATATATATATATATATATATATTACATAAATTAAAATTACATATATGAACTTTAAATTAATTAATTATATATATATATATATATATATATATAATATAATTATAAATATAATTTTTTTTAAATTGATAATTTTTATTTTAATTTATGCAATATATATATATATATATATATATATATATATATATATATATATCTTCCAAAATATTACAAAATACAAAAAAAAAATAGAGGTGATAGGTCTTGTGTTAGTGGCAGGGTACATGTGAGGGCATTGATTGAGAGAGTGAATGAGTCAATGCATGTTAATAATCATCAACTTTTGCAATAGGAATAATTCATATCTCCCTCATAGGCACACTTACCAAATAAAGTTGATATGTCTTCTCTTAGTGGCATCGTGCATGTGAATGCATTGATTGAGACTAAACGAGTCAATGCATAATAATAGTCACCAGCTTTTGCATTAGGAATAATTCATATCTCCCTTGGCACGACTACCCAATAAAGTTGATAGGTATTGTCTTAGTGGCTCGGTGCATGTGAGAGTATTGAGTGAGAGAGTGAATGAGTCAATGCATAGTAATAGTTTATTGAATGTGTAAGTTATTAAGATAATAATTTGTTATATTTGTAAGTTATTAAGATACGATTTTTCACTACTACAAAATATGCTTTCAACGTCGGTTAAAGCTGAGCCGACGTTAAATACACTTTCAACGTTGGTTGGTTAAAAAATGACGTTGAAAGTTGAATGTTGGACACTTTCAACGTCGGTTCCCTGATGAACCGATGTTGAATGTGTCTTCACCAAAAATTCTTTTAAGTTAAAGAATTGTCACTGACAGGGTTCGAACTCAGTAATTTAGAATTGAAAATAGATACTCCAACCACTAAACTACTATAATTTTCTGATAATAACTTACAAATTAATTATATTTATATACAAATAAATATATATTACGTGTAAATATATATTTATTTATATTTTCTGGAAAGTGTTTTTATTTTTTTTCAGCCAAAAATTCACTTAAGTTAGAAAATTGTCATCGACAGGATTCGAACCCAGTATTTTAGAATTGAAAGCTAATACTCCAACCACTAAACTACTGTAATTTTCTGATAATAACTTACAAATAAATTATATTTATATACAAATAAATATATATCCGTGTAAATATATATTTATTTATATATATTTTACGGAAAACTTTTTTATTTTTTTCAGTAAAAAATTCACTTAAGTTAGAGAATTGTCAACGATAGGATTCGAATATAGTATTTTAGAGTTGAAAATTGATACTCCAACCACTAAACTACTATAATTTTTTGATAATAATTTACAAATAAATTATATTTATATACAAATAAATATATATCCGTGTAAATATATAAATATAGAATATATAAATACAAATATATTTATATATTTTGATATATTTATATATTTTTATGTTGGATGTGAGGGCGCGATCGAGGGTGAAAGTGAGATTGACTCTCGCTTGAGTGAAAATACGTTAAAGCTCACAGAAATTCACTCGTTCAAGCCTAGCTTGAGCGAAAATTGGTATTTTTCGCTTGAGCGAATGTGTCACTTGAGCGAATGATGCGTTTCCCAAATTTATTTTATATCATTATATAAATAAATTATAAATATTATATTCTGTCATTAAATTACAAACCCATATAAAGAGACTCGCTCACAAATTTGGCATCAAATTTTGAAAACCCACTCGACACACACTTTCACCTTCGAGCGTGCCCTCACATCCAATATATAAATATATAATTATTTAAATATATCAAAATATATAAATATATTTGTATTTATATATTTACACGGATATATATTTATTTGTATATAAATATAATTTATTTGTAAGTTACTATCAAAAAATTCGAGTAGTTTAGTGGTTGGAGTATCGGCCTCCAACATTAAGGTATTGGGTTCGAATCCTATCGGTGACAAAAAAATAATTTGGTAATGCTTTAAACTTAAAAAAATATGATAAATAATAAAAATATAATATAAAAGAGAGGTGAGATTTCTAGATAAATAGAGGGGTTGGAAATAAATAAAAAAAATTGATTTGAAAAATAAGACTTTCAACGTCGGTTGTTGAAGGCCTTATTTGTATTAGTGTTTTTTGAATTTGTAAGTTTTTTATTCATCATTCGTAAAGTTTATATTACAAACCCAACATAAGGTAGCTAAATAAGAACAATTCAAACACTAAAACTAAATGTTTGTTATTAAATCCCATAATGGTGTCCAGTTCCACATCGGGGTCGTCTTCTGTTCCTAGTTGGGTTCCTCCTTCCCTGGGGCGGTCTAGGTGCTTCTTCCTCTAAAGGTTGGACTTCATGATGCTCTACATCTTCATGAGCTTTATATGTGTCGGAGGATGACACTGTTTCATTATGATATTGGATATTATAAGGGGATTGTTGATAAGGTCCTTCGAAACCCTGTGTCGAAGGTGGAGTTGGGGCATACGCTCCAAAAATGCTTGGCATTCCTAAATCAGAGAAGGAAGAAATTGAATGTCTTCTTTCATCCATAGTTCCTTCTGCTTCTGGAGTGTTGTAATTGTGCTGAATGTCATCATGTTGAGGAGGTTCTGCATGTGTTGAAGTCGATGCCCGATGCATCCTCGGGTCATGTAACATTTGTGGAATGGACAAATACAAAAATGAGTTTGCCACAAACCACGACATATACTCACTACTATGGAAAAGTGACCCTAAAAGTGGTAATCCAATCAATGTCAGATCACACCTGTTCTTCCATACGTCTATCCATTTCGCATGTCTAGTAGCCCAATTCTCGTCTTGTCTCCCCCTCATGTCTACTTTATGAAGATCATCAAGGTTGTTGGGTGAGTCAGGAACATCTTGTACCAAATGAAATTGTAACTTCACCATGTCTAACTGGTGTCATTCAACAATTGAAAAACAAAGTAAACTTGTGCAAGAGGTCCACAATGCTTGGTCCCTGTATGCTTCGTCAGGAATGATTAACTCCAATCCCTCATATGGAACCCATATAAACTATGTCAACAATACTAAAGTGAGAAACTTAGTAAATTATGAACATTAAAAAGTGAAGTTAAAAATATAAGTGAACCTGGTTAGGTTCAATGTGGTCTATCCTTGATCGGTAGCCAAGTAAATCATTATGGGGAATATTTTGATAGTTCAGTACATGAGCCCCGCTCCATCGGCATA